CGCGCTCCTCGAAGCACTTATGGGCCGTCGTCCCGCGGCGGTTCAGCAAGCAGGTCGGTCTGATCAAAGATCGTCTTAGATCTAGTTAACTGTTGGATGATAGTAACAACTGTGGCATCGTCTTTGTCTCCGCGTCTCCGTACCTGTGACATCAGCACTGACCTTGAAGTAAGATTTTCAACCCACCCTGATAGTGCATGTGTGGCGCTTAAATTGATTAGGAACTTCCCGAGATCTTAGGGGAAGGGCGGCCGAACCCACCTCCCCTCCAACGACTGGTAGGGTCCGGGAACAGTCCAACGGGGCGCGGGATAATTTATCACCCGGTCCGCCATCCAGTACCAAGGATGCGTCACGATGACCCGTGCCTTATGTCTGTCGATCCATGCTACAGTCTGCCCATAGGCGGTGGAACGGGAAGGGCACCTGGGCACCGTGCCTCCCTTTGATTTCGGCATTTTAACATTAGCCCTATGGGCGTTGGGAAAGAATGGGACCAAAAGTCGACAGTGCCCCCGTCCCCTTAATTGAAGGTGTTCCGCCGCTACTGGCTCTGCCGGACTTTACTCGGGTTCGTCGGATCGCAATGCTTAACAGTCTGACGCCTCACCACGCTCCACAAAGCAAGCACACAGACAATATACCCAAGGGGAACCGTTGGCGTTGGTTGCATCGGGAAACCCCTCTCTCTGATATGCCAACGCGTCCAGAAACAGGCGTGTTTTTGTGTTGCGCCTGTGGCTGAGATTCCGTGTTACGATAAGTAGCTGTTGTCCGGGCGCGGGGCGGCTCTCCCCAGCCGAACGCACTCAGCTCGATGCCCATTTGGTCTCTGCTGCGGAAAGACAGGTGCCGATTGAAAACAAAAAACAGCGAGGCTGAGGCAGAAAAATGGCCACCGATTTGCGTCAAAATGAATAGTCTGGTTGGTTGATGGTGGTGAAGTCTCCAGGGGGTGTACTTGTGGGCCCAGATTACCCCACTGTTTTGACAAGCTGAAGTACGCTCGAGTGTGTGCTTTGGCAACGGTTTTTAACGATATGCTTTCAAGTTTAAAGTTATTTGTTTAGTTATATTTATGCCTTACGGGATCATTACTTTGGGTTCTGGAGAACGTAAAAGCTTTGACTTCATTTTTGGGCCATTTCAATTAATCGATTGAAAGCTTGCACAAGCGGGTATAATTTGTAATGTATTTCTATTGAAACGAGCGTCCTCAGTTTTGGCTGCCGGTGTCACTCGGTGGTGCCTTTGAGCAGGGGCGGATCCAGAAAATCTCCAAGGGAGGGGCCATTAGAAACCAGGAGGCCCCCATAATCCCACCTGTTGGAGGCCCCATCTTCCCACTTGTTGCCCCCCCCCCCCCCAAAAAAAAAACTGCGTCTATTGAGCTTATCTAGCTGTTCAGGCAGCATCTCAACATGAATAGCCACTTTATTTTCAGGAGGCCCCCTTTTCAGCTTTTTAACTTTTTATTTTATTTTTGAAAAAAAATCGGCCAAGGGGGGGCATGGCCCCCATGCCCCCCCTTGTATCCGCGCCTGCCTTTGAGTGGTGCTTCTGGGTGGTGCCGCTGGTCACTGCAGTGCTGCCGCCGCGCCGGTGCCATCACCAGTCAGTCTCCGCCGGCGGTGATTTGGACCGGCCGCTGTCCCCAGCTGCGCCATTCCAATGCATGAAACGAGCCCGCCGGGTCAGCGGCGCAGTCAGCGGAGAGCCGCTGATCTCCGGGGGCGACTGACGACTGGGGACGCCGCCCGCGGTACGGCGAACGGCGGCCCGCGGTACGACAAACGGCGGCCCGCGGTATACGACAAACGGCGGCCCGCGGTACGACAAACGGCGGCCCGCGGTACGACAAACGGCGGGCACGCGGTACGGCAAACGGCGACCTGCGGTACGATAAACAGCGGCCCGCGGTACGATAAACGCCGGCCCGCGGTACGACAAACGGCGGCCCGCGGTACGACAAACGGCGGCCCGCGGTACGGCAAACGGCCGCCGGTGCGCCCCGCGCAAATAAAGCGCCAAGTGGCCCAGCTCGCAATCAGAGGCTCTCCGCCATACCCAGGGCGCGGAGCCCCGTGATAGTGCGCGTAACTTGGGCCGCCGAGTTATGCGCTGTCAGTCGGGATTGTTTGAACTGTTTGTTTGCGTCCGCCCAAGTTCCAGCGGGTGGGCAGGTGCGTTCGGTAGAGCGAGAGCGAGTTGGATGTGCGCCCAGTTAGAACAATGTAGTGGTGGTTACTTCCACTTCGAAATATGATAATTAACCCTCGCCGGCCGAGGGGGGGGGGGGCGGGTGCCGCCCCCCCCCATAGGGTTTTTTCGCGATAGCTCCGAACACGCTGGCGATAGAGAGCTGAAACTTGGCATACCTGACCTTTGATCCAAGCCGCATCTTTTGACACCAACCGCATTTTTGGGTCAGGTCAGGTCACTGACCTATGACGTCATAAGTGAACCTCTGCACGGTCTTCAGATGTCGCAACTTCGCAACGCCCTCACTGCCAGAGGAGATGTCACAGGGAAATGAAACTTGCAGGATCTAGTATCCATTATGAGTCTCACAACTTGTATATCTCGGATTTTTCCTAAAGGTCATATGAGGTCAGGTCATTTTCGTGACCTCACCATTATAAGTCAATGGGGACAAATTCAAACTGCTATTCTGGCGCCGGGAACGATCTCCCACCATCTCAAGCACACAGAATCGTGATTTGATGCACTCCTTGCAAGGTTAGATGCGTCACTTTTGCAATGTTGACCTTGCGTGACGTCATTTATGACGTCATCAAGGTCATATTAGTTTTTCGTCAATAACTCTTGATCAAATTGAGCTAGCGAGTCGGGGAAGCCACCAATGGACTCAGGAAGACCTGCCGAATCGAATGATATGCGACATGACCCCTTTCGACCAACTTCGTGACCTTAGGGTGCTGACCTGACCTTGACCTGAGGTCAACACCCCAAGTTGACCTGACCCGAATAAAAAGTATATCATTCGACGCGCCTGAGCGAGGCGAACACGATGCTGCCAAAATCGCGGCGCTGCGACCGTTTTTTGCGAAGTTATTCACCAAAAACTGAACCGTACCTTGGGGCACTTGACCTGACCTCAGAGGTCACCGGTTGACCTAGGACCTTAAAATTGGGTACCAATCTCTGCGTCTCGTAACGGCGCACACGCTCGTTTTTTCCGCGACGCGCTAGCTCCACCAGGGGCGAAACGGCGAGGGGGGGGGTCGTACCCGCCCCCCCCCCCCTCGGCCGGCGCGTATGTAGAAAACCAATAGGTCCGGCGAGGGTTAACTTCTGCAGCAATGGACTGAGTTGAATTGTAAGACCACGGGACTGCCCGCGTGGGAGGGGCTCCTTTTGACGCGCTGAGACTGACCGAATGGGTCACCTTTTGTGGTGCTTGGAGTGACCCGCTGCGATCAGGGACTGACAACGAAGGAGCGTAGGACGCCTGATCTCTGTGATTGACCCGTCTGTTCATTATGACCACCTTTATTTAGCGGTTTGAGCTGACACTTCCCTGGGCCAGCCACGTAGTTTTTTTTTCATTGAATACATTTAAATTCAACATTATCTACGTTTTAGGTTTTCCCTAGTCCCTAGCAACAAGCTCACAGCACAAACCCGTCCCATTTAAATCAATGGTGACGACACGCGATACTCTCCGTCGGTGCATGCATTGTTATGCTTACATTGCAGTCGGGGGCGACAGCTGGATGAAGGGCGCCTGACTGCTGCCAGACATGAAACGTCTGGTCTGGCATGACATGTCTGGCACCAGTGAGGCGACCTTCATCACGCCCAGATTGAACAACAAAGGCAACGTTGCGACAAAGGTCCCCGCTGCACTTGGCAAGCTCGTTGAATTACGAGATCAACGAGACATTTAGGTATTCGAATTTATTCTTATAAAACAAGGTAACAACACAAACTACGAAAGTAGAAACCCTCGTGAATCTTAAATGCATTGCTTTTTGTGTTTATGCCTCCACTTGTGATAAATAAAAATGATAGCGCTTTTGAAATTTCAACGTAGCTAAGTCATTTACAAGTGACATTTTAAGCCGGCTGCTGATCAGTTCAGACATTTCGGCTGCCTAGCCAGACGCGCTGCCGCTTCGTGGAGATAAATATCATATCGAAGCCTTAGTGAAACGGAACCGCTCGTCGAGGTTATCTCTCCACCTATAGTTATGTCCGTTTTCAGTACCGGCTCCCCTCATTTCGCAGATGCTGAGTCCATACTGATGGCTCAGCTAGCGCTTTTGCGACAATATGTCGTCTAATCCGAGCTTTTTAGCTGAGCAGTCGGGTGTAACGGTTAAAGTTTGTTGTATTTGTTCCCTTCTGTTGCGTGCCTGGAGTTGCTGAAGCCACCGATTTCTCTCTTGTCAAGTCTTGCCGCAGCTTTGTTCCGTTGGACAGCCGGAACTCACGCTTGTCGTCTCGCAACTCAATTGGAGCGGACGCAGAAAATGGGCACGGGAACGTAAAGCCTTAGCACGCTGAGGCTGACACGTAAATCGATAACAGAAACTTCTGGGAGAGTGTTACGGTGTGGTAAGTGCATCTATCTGAGTATGAGTCAGGTCCGGATATGTGACAGGTCCAGTTGGGTCAGGTCGTATAATTATGTCATGTGTCACAGCTGTCATAGAATCATGTCCGTTGTTGTTTGTCCTTCGTGCTGACACTCCGCGTATCGGTCCGGTGCAGTGGTGCGTCTGTGTGTCGGCCCGGGCTCGGCGTTGTGTTCGGCGCGGTGACAATCCAATTTTGGTCCGCTGGTGATCGTCATCCTCGATGATTCTACATTTGTCGGCCCGGCATGTTCGCCACCAGGACTTGTCTTACTCTGTTTATCCAGCAGCTTCGCCAGGACTCTGACTCTGTCTGCAGTCCGGCAGATTCGCAGGGACTCTGTCTGTCGGCCCGGTAGATTCGCAGGAACTTTGTCTGACTGTCTGTTGGTCCGACAGATTCGCCAGGAGCAGATGCGGGAGATGAAGCGCCTGGGTCTGAAGGAGGACGGCCGTCAGCCGGCCGGGGCCGAACACCGCGAGTCGACCGGAACTGAGGCTGAGGAGACGGCCTCGGGGTCATCACCGGGTCAGGACGCCGGACTGCACTCACCCGAGGACGACCCCAAGGTCAGGAGTCCACCTCCCGAGGACGACCCCAAGGTCAGGAGTCCACCCGGAGGAGGCGGGTGGGTGTATTTGTCTGGTAACTACATTTTAGTCGAGTGTCTTTACCAGCCGTAACTTTGCGCAAAAAAAATACCATAAATCTATCGGCTCTACAAAGTTCCAATGTTTGCCTGCTATCCATAGTCCACGCGATCAAACGAAGTTTGATCCGTACCGATCGTTTGATCTCCTAAATAGCATTGAAGTGATCAAAGTATGTTAGCAAGTTGTTCTGAAAAGAAACGTCCTTCCCCAAGGCCCAAGCTATAAATGCTTACTTCAGCAAGAAGTTTTTGCTTACTGTGTTATGTAATGCATGACTGGTGTAGCAAGCTATCGGGGCGCCTTTAATTAATGAAAATCAGGGCCTATTGCATGGCTGCATAGACATTTACCGCAGCGTCAACTTCATACTATTCTCACTTTCTGTGTCAATTTTGTGCAAACGAACACTCTCGTCTATCTTCTTTTCTCTTTCCTCTCTTTTCTCCGGTCTCCTCTCTTCTCTTTCACTCTCTCGCTCTTTCTGTGCCCTCGCTCATCACATTTTCTCCCTCCCTTTCTTTCTCTCTCCCTCTCCCTCTCTCTCTCTCCTCTCCCATTCTCTTTTTCTCTTTCTTTTGTTTTTTTTCTCTCTCACTCTCTTTGGGTCGCTCTCTCTCTTTCTCTCTCCCTCTGCCTCCTCATGCACCTATATTCGCTGTAGTGTGCTAGTGTACTTGTGTGTAGTAAGTACGTGTGCTTGTGTGATTAACTGTGCTTTACCCCTCCCCCAGTGTTCTGAGGAGCCGGAGCCGGCCGTTCCCGTGACCAGACCTCCTGCTCCGCTCCCCTCCGCTCCGCCACAGCGGCAGCGCGTGCTCAACATCCTGGACCGGGCGCGGCTTATCTCCGAGAGTTCGCGGGTGGCCAAGCTCACCAAGAGTGTCGACAGCCGCAGGTGGGGGCGTGCTCGTCGGGCGTGCTCGGAGGCGGTGTTTACAGACGCGGCGCCCGCAGATCAGCAGACTGCCGGTGATGGGTGCTCAGGTGGAACAGCCCGGTCGGACCGCGGACGGGGCAGGGTGTGCGGGGAAATCCGGACCAAATTGGAACACCATTGGGAATGCGGACCGCGAGCTCAGGGAGAGAGATAATCGACACAGGAGGGTAAACAACTTAGCGTGGTTGGCAGGTATTGATTTAGACAGTTGCGAACGGGTTTGCTGCCAGGTAGGTAGGAAGGATAAATGATCAGTTACCACAGATAAGATCATCTTATCTTATCTTTTATCGGAACTAAAGCTCACCTGATTGCCATGTAAATATTAACACTTGTTATTGTTTGTTTCAGTTTTACCCTGGATGGGGGCTACGAGCTTCCCGAGGCCTTCCTCGCTCCAGATGGTGAGTAGACTGTGAGATCGATGACCACCTGGTGAGAATAAGAGGACGTTATTGGCAGTAGAATGTGTGCAGACCATTAAATAGGCAATAAAGGTTCATGACAAAATGATAGTTTTCAACCAGGTGTTTTGTGACCTGTTTTATTCGTGACGAAGGTGATGTTGCAATTTTTGTTTTTGCAGATAACTTTGAAAAGAGCATACATACATTAACCTTCGCCCTGGTGGGGGGGGGCCATTTTGGCCCCCCCCCCCTGTGGTTTTTCAGCGATAACTCAGAAACCACTTGAGTTAGCGCCCTGAAACTTTGTATAGCTGTTTATTCAACATTTTTACATCATGTCCTTTTTTGGGGGGTTCGGGTCAGGTCAGGTCAGGTCACAAGGTCACCAAAACTGACACCACCTCTAAAAAAGTTCAAAGCTCTCTCAAAGGCACAGCTTTTATCCGATCGATGTAAAATTTACAGTACTTGAAGATGTCACCCAGCTCTACAAAATGGCTATCTCGGATTTTTTATAAATGTGACCTAAGGTCAGGTCAGGTCATCGCTGCTCCCCATTATAAGTCAATGGGAGAATCGAAAAGTAGTTGTTTTTCAGCTAAATCGGGCGTGATTGTTCCTATATTTCGTTATTGAAGTGTCTTGGGTCAGCAAATCACAGCCCATGTGAAACCATTTGCTTGTGACCTCGCTGAGGTCACGCTAGGTCATCTCCCTGGTCACCAGAGGTCACCAGCGGTTTTTCTGCACTTACTTGTTATTGAATAGAGATAGAGACTCCGTTCGACGTTTATCGTGTTTGTCTCGTCAATGCGGATCGAATGATATGCAGCATGACCTATTTCGGTAAGGTCATGACCTTGACCTGAGGTCAAATTTTCAAAATGACCTTTCGAGGTCAAACTATATATCATTCGACGCGTCTCGACGAGCCAAGCACGATGGTGCATGAATCGTTTCTCTATTTTCTCGTGAATGCATGCTATAGTTAAAAACATTTTCAACGAAATTTGCCAAGTTGACCTTGCATGACCTCTGTAGGCCAAACCGTTGAGCTGAGGTCAAATCTGACGAACCTTGGCGAAAGAGCTTGAAAAGAGCTATCGATTGCTTTTTTCCGCGGCTCTCTAGCTCTTCTAGTTTCCGAGCTACAGCGGAATATGTCCGGCAACACCGAAAACACTGAAATTTGACCTATGATGACCTCTAGCGACCTCAATATTGACCTTAGCGAAAAAATGACCGAAATACTTTCGAACGTACTTGTTATGGGCTTTCGTTTGCTTTTTTCCGCGTCTTCCTAGCCCTCTTCGTTTTCGAGTTAGACGGGGGGGGGTCATTTTGGCCCCCCCCCACCAGGGCGAAGGTGGCTCAGACCCACACCAGGGCGCGGGTTAAAAATAGAAGTTGAAATGGGCTAATGTTGTTTGGCAGATGCATCTCGCTGTCTCCTCTGTCACCAGCCCATCTGAAACCTGAGACGCTGAGAGCCTCTGTGACCACCTCTGGTCATCTGGGTCCGTTTTTCCATGTTTGTCCGTCCGAGCATTACGGCTTTCTGGGACTCTGCGCCGACCGGAGACCACATCCACCCTCTCTTGTCGTGAGCCATTACCGTCGAGACCTATATTCTCTAAGCTCGTTAAGGGCGCGCACGCAAAACAAACCTAGTTAACGTTCCCTGCTCTGCCGGTGCCTTTCTTGTGTGTCTCTGGAGATTTGTGCGCCAGTGCACACTCGGATGGCAAAAGCATCACATCTACACGGCCTGCATATATTATGACAGGAAACCATGAATATTGACTACATAAACAGGCGTATTTGCTGGCTCGCCCGGGTACAGATCAAGGAGCACGTTCTCAGAGACAGGGATCATCTTAGTGCGTCACATGATGACTGGACAGCATACAGTCACGATCGGAAGGAAAGTGTTGCAGGAGTTGCAGCGGGCAATTAGTTCACTGATCAACAATGACGAAGTTGGGCCATCAGCATCATGCCTGCCCGATATTGTGAAATGTCGATCGATCCGTCTTGTGACAGTTCGGTTATTGCGAGAAATCCCTGCGTTCAAGTCACTCAAGTCGATAAGCTGTTATATGGTGCTGGAATGGCTTAGCAGTGGAATATGTATCCAATAATCCGTTACGCATACATATACCTAGCTGACCTGCCAGCCAGCCGTGGATCAGTCTATCTGTTCGGTCTGGCTTTTTGGCCAGTAAGTGAGCAATTGTCTGTGGTATTTGTGGTCTCAACACACATGGCTGATGTTCCCATGAGTGTTTAATAGGCTAGTTCTGGATCTCGATTTATGAAGCGCAATCTTTTCCCCATCGTATGAATTACACCAATGAAAAGAAAATGTGTCCCATTTGTTCAGCTTTGAAAGCCATCTACGAGAAGGTAGGCATCTACGCCAAAGTTAACGCAACAACTCAAGTGAAGTGCTGTGCTCGTCCTGGTGTACTTTTTATTCATTGAGTCTTCACGATTTTAGTTTATTAGCGTTTGAAGAATCTTGAATATGTTTAAGGGAAGTGGGAACAAAGCTTTCCGTACGTACTTTTTTATTTTTCGTGTCGGGTCGCGGCCGGCCGGCCGCGGACCATTTTCAGAAGTGGCGGGCAGACCGTGCGTCGAGTACTTGCTTTCTCGCGCGGCGGTACTGGGGTTCACTAGCATTGTTTAAAATATTTTCATTTGCCATGAACTTGAAATTATACACTGTAATTAACGATCATTTGTCAATTATTACAAGTTCCTCAAAATTCTTCTTTGAAAGCAAATGATTTCATTTCACTCAAGAAATGTCTTGTCCACCACTACAACCGCCACCCAGCCGCCATCCATTGGAAGAGATAGACTCTGCGGAACAAAGTGTCGTTTTAAACTGGACTGGGAACCAATGTGTGATGACATTTCGAGCTAAATTTATGCTCATTGTGTACCTAGAAGCATTGGGAACAACGCTCTGACTGTACATTTTTAGATTTTTGCCTCTAAATGAAAATATTTACAGTCAAGTACTTTGCGAGCGCAGTTTAGAAGCTCCCGTAATGTTAAAGTCCTATCTCCTACAAGTATGTAAATACTGCTCTAGGGAACCAACAGTTCGCATCGTACTAGCTTTAAACTATATCCATAGTGTTCCCAGTACTTTGTTGAACACTGTGGTGAGTGTACATTTTTCGTTTTTTTGCTTTACAAGCGTAAAATTCGTCTGGTTTTACACCACTTCATTCGCCTCCATAGCCCGGTAACGGCGCCGCGCGGCGCGGCCGGCCGGCGCCCGCTGTAGTTTCAAACACTGCCCGATAGATGGCAGGCGCAGAAGTGGTCCCAGCCGTCCCGGTACGTGGTATATTGACTTATGAACGATGCTACCTATCAGTATTATGATTGCTTCTACGATGGCAAATGGCTTCAGAATGCTGCACTCATCAAGACGATAACATAACGAGGCTTGGACCGCGCGTATTAAACGTTTTTGCGTCGATTTCTGCTTAGTGGTTTGATTCAATACTGCACGAATAATGGGGCACCTTTCCTTCTTGTGCCATCTCATTGAGCAGGAATGATGGCTGGCGCTGGGGCACAGCGCGCCGCAGCATATCTGTTAGATGATGGGCCATATAGCTGAGCAGTCCCGCGCGGCCAATTTCGAGGCATGCTGATCCGAGAAGTCGAGTGGAAAGGGACTGTGTCTGGCGCCGGTATGAGCACTTCTCGTCTGCGTGGTTGGGGTGATGTGAGGTATTCAATGCTCGGGTAGCCACAGATCAGATGCAATATTGGATGCTGAGACCCGTGTGCAACCAGGCTGGTAATTCTTTTATCTTAATTTTGTGCGCGTGCGATAGCTTCTGATCTGCAAGCAAGCCTTTGATCCTGCTATAAAAGGTTTTCGGTCAGCTACGCTTGTATGTTTATTTTTCCTCGCAAACTTGGCAAAGTTCCTTCGTTGTTTGCGAGCTTGTTTTTATTGAAATCCAACAGAAACCTACAAGACAAACAGGCCGAGCTTCCCGCAAAATGACGACACCCGCTGCGCAGTGCCATCAGTGAAACGAACAGATCAGGCTCCCATCGGAACAGCTGTCGGCTCGCCGCCACATTCCATCTCGGACCCGGTCGTAACTTGTAACACTCGATCCCGGCCGCGATGTACGGAGAGCCGAGGTGTATTTACGGGCTCGCCCAAGGCTCCGGGCTCGCCCCGCTCTCCGGCGTTGGCGAGTGTGCCGGGCGGCCGAGGAGGAGGATTAGGACTTCTTAGCGCGAGAGCGGAGGACAAGAGAGGAGGAAATCGGCGATGGCGATGGCAAGTGAAAAATTGGGAGCTGGAAGACAAGGGTGATGCTGATACTGAGAGGACTGGGAGGATGGATGGAGGACTGGGAGGACTGAGGTGGGACTGAGAGGATGGGGAGGACGGAGGTGTTAAATAGAGGACGAGGAGGCCGACAGGCGGAGGACAGCATGACAATGGCTGTGGCAGTATTGGCTGTGGAGGACGGATGATGACTGAGAGGACAGAGTCGCACCTCCTCGTCTCATTGAAGGTCCAATGCACCGGCCTGCCTTCCCCGCCCCGACAATAACCGTCCGCCTAGCGATCCAACCACCCGCCGGCCCAGCCACGGCACTCTATTCTCGCAGCGCGGCCAAAATTTAGGTGCGCGGCTGACGGCGCGCTGGCATCGGCGGCCGGCCTCAATAGGGCGGCTGGGCCTGCTCACGGCCGCCCTGACCGCCGCGGTTTTGTTTGGCCCTTGACGGTGACAGACGGCCTAGTCGCCGATCCATTCTCGCCGCGCCGGCCAGACACCTGCTCGGCCTTTTTACCGGCTGGACGACGTCACACTTGGTGGGAACAGCCCTCGTGACGTGTTATTCGGTGCAATGTGTATATGAACTGCCCTTTGGCAGCAACTGGTCTGACCCGGCCGAAAATAGCACCGGACTGAGGCTGAAAGAGCGGTGCGTATGGAGCAATCCGGCCCAAAAGACAGGCATCCTATACCACCCCACCCGTCCCTGCGAACGGCATCCTCTCTCCCATCCGTCCCACCGGCCTGTGTCCCACCCTTTACCCATCCCACTCACTGGCGTATTACCCTCCAGTCTCCACCTCCCTCCCACTCGCCCCACCCATCCCACCGCCCCTGCTCTCGGGACATTTCGAGGGTGTCTGGCGCGGCGGCCGAGCGACCGCCTCCGTCCAATGATTGCACCACGCACCGCCGACTGGCCGGCTTTCATGGAGCGGCGAGTGCATCGGCGGCTCGAGCGACGTCCGGTTGTCGTTCTTGTGCCGCGATATTGGCTGGTGCCGGGCGGCGGGGATCACGACAGTGCTGGCCTGCAGCACCGCGCCGCACACATGGTGGTGGTCAGATGCCAGTCCAACTGAACAGTGCGGCTAGTATAAATGAAATCAATTTGGGAAATTTAATGCGGAAGTGCATGATGCGTTGCACGCATTTAGGCAGGAAGGAAAAACGTAATGGGCATATACGTAATAGGTTAACTTAAACCAATTTGCAATTTGTATTTCATTTCAAATTTCTGTCGTTCTTTTACGGTTTCCGCGCGTGACTACCCGTCGTTTTACATCAGCTGCACGACCTATTCATAGGAGCCTTCCACATGTGGCTTCATTCCATATCATAATCAATTTCGAATCCCGATCTAAGATGTATTGACAGACCTCAATAATGCCTATCAGAAAACACCTTTTGGTTGGACGAAGGACGACCGACTGTATTAGAGAATTGCTGTGCTTTACCGTTCAAGCTCAGACAGGATGAAAATCTATAAAAGCATTAGAATATTAATTTGAATCACCATAAGATGGGACACCAACCCAGCATTGCCATGGTGCCTAACGCTCGCTTTCCACTGTGTTTCAGCTCGGAGCAATGATGCCTGTCCTCACTGTGTTCCAGGTTGGAACACTGACGCGCGCGTCCTAACTGTGTTCCAGGTCGGAGCCCCCTGCAGTGGCTGGGCCTCCGAGGTCCGATGGAGCGACGCCGCCTGAGGCCGGCTCCCTACATCATCCCGAAGTAGACGGCGAGCTGACCTGGCCGCCGCTGACCCGGCCAGGTCACGGCCGGTGACCTCGGTCAGGTCACGCCCGGTGACCTCGATCAGGTCACGGCCGATGACCTCTGTCAGATCACCCCAGTCCGGACACAGGGTCAGCTGAGAGACAACCGGGCTCAAGCGGGCACGTTTGGTTGGCGCCTCTCGTAAGGTGTGCTCAGAGGGTATGATGTCCCAAATGGTGCTGAAAGTGGAGGCTTATTGTGAACTTGTAGACAGACTGATCGGACGGTCCATGCGGTTGGCTGGTGGAACAGACTCGGTGCAGCTCTCTGGTCGTCGGGAAAGGACAGACACGGTGGAGAGGACCGCGCTGAGGGAAGGGATTCCAACCATGGTCCATGTGCCAAGCTGAGGGCGCCTCGTTCTGGATGGAAGACACAACGAAGTCTCACTCCGATGAGAGGTAAGTTTTGTAAGTGAGTGAGGAAGTTAACTTGCATATTGTTTGTTTCTTGTGGACTTTGCAGTTCAACCCACGTCCTCGGTCCGGTCCCGATAATCCCTCAGAAGGCTCACCAGTCACCACCATGTCAGGGTCTCCACTGAACCCAGTGATACTGTCCGTTTCGGATTGTTCTTTCCGTGGTGTGAGCTGGGGTCACGAATTGCGTGCCGTCCCTCACCTTCTCTGGCTGGTCATATATTTCACCGGCTCCTGGGAACCGCCACAGGTGTCTTGTGGTTTGCTCGGGGTTCCAGACACCCGCTCACTGTCGCTGGCTAGCACCCGGTCCGCTGCTGTCTACACTCCACAGTTCACGCCAGTCCATATAGCCTCCGAGCCGTCGCAGTTGTCCAGTGTCCATGCCAGTTCAGTTGGACACCTACGCTAGTTCCTTATTGTTCGACCGGCTACCCACCCCACATCACTCTGTTGGACCGGGCCACCTATCACCCAAGCCAGTTAATTTTATTTAGGCTGATTATTCACGCCGATTCATTTTAGTTAGACTGTTTACCCATGCCATACCATTGTAGTTGGACTGGTCATGAACGCCAAGTCATTGCAGTTGGACCGGCTACCCACACCAGATCATTGCAGCTGGACCGATCACCCACGCCATTTCACTGTAGTGAGTGTAGTTGAACCGGATACTCACGCCAATTCAGAAAAGTGTCGTACTAGCTATCCAAATTGTTATTGGATCAACTACCCTTAACGCACGCGCGAATTAATATGTAACCTACACCAGTCTTTGGATTGTTGCGATCCGAAGCGGCTCACCAGGCGGCAACAAGCGAAAGGGAAGGCGGGCTGACAGTCTGCTCTTTACCACACAGTTCAATATCTCTGCCCTATATTTTATTATCTCATAACTCCATAATAGCCTTTTCAGGCCACAAGAGCCTGTGTCCATCAAATCAGGCAAAAACGCAGAGAGGGTACCGAGCTGGGAGGGTGCAGACATGGTTTCCGAGGAGAGGGCGGGCCCATTCCATTTCAAGTTCAGGTTATTATAGCCCATAGTAGTGTTCGTGTCTTCATGTCATAGAGCTCGTGAAATACTCGTCATAACATCATCAATGTGAGATCTGCGGTTCTGCAATCTGCATGATCTGAGTTAATTGTTTTCGATCATTTCGATAAAAAAATGTTAATTGGCATAAACGAAATAGTAATTGCGTATCGATTTCAATGAGAAAATGGGATTTCGATCATGTTATTGTTACAGCAGTTTACGTGAAAAAAGGTACCACATATGTACCAAAGAAACGTCAAACATTGCTCTCCTCGCGAGGCCGAAATTAAGTTCTACGGGCTCTATATCGTTCCTCACAAATTGCTCTCCCACTGCGTAAAGTGGTCTCCCAGGGGTACTTGGCCCGTAACTTGAGTGGGGCGTTGCCCAGAGCAAAGGCGGTGCTTGACGGAATAACGACGTCTGGCACTAACTATAAGCATTGTTTATCCATTGATATGCATGCGGAATGACTTCCGTAGTTACCTCGCTCTATACTTTGTGACCCATTATGCTGTCGAGGGTCGATTACAGCCATAACCTAGCCCCTTAGGCTTTCGTATTATATTTGTTTCATTTACAACCCACCACAAAATCTCCGTGGATGCTGTCGCTGCGGGTGTTGGGTATATGTGACATATGTGACTCGCGGCAGCTGTTATTCAACTCAGACGCTCTAGTGTATCAGGATACGGCCATTAGTTTCACAGTATTCATTTGACTGTCTCGTTCGTGGCATCCCACTATAACTTGTTGCTGACGCTTTTGACAATCAACCGAATCATATCACGAGCTTTGATTTATACATGGATTAATGACTCTGACACGACATCACTTTATGCTGACACCGAATGATTTATGACGTACACAAGAATCACAGAATATCTCAAAAGGCATGTAATCGTGATGTTGCACGAAGGTAACTCGGAGTTTGCTAATCCACGGGCTGAGTTCTCTTGGTGCTGATCCACGGATTACGGAATATTGCTCATCCTGACAGGCTGGGAAAACCCACAGGCTTTTGGCGCCGATCCACGGACTGTGTGCTCAGTGCTGATTCTTGAAGTGCGTTGTCACTTATTCTCAGTGCATCTTCGATCCAGAGGCTGTGCTAAGCACTCGCAAGTTGGTGCGTGGTTGCCAGTTGGTTGATATGAACTGTGTAAACACTCGCTGTTATGCGCGATGCTCCGATGATCCACAAACTGTTATAGACTCCCTGCTATGCGATACGCCAATAATCCACAAAATATTATACACCCACTGTTATAGACTCGCCGCTATGCGATACGCCGCTGCGTCACTTGATCGACCGGCCGGGCGCCGCATTAGCCGCCGGAAGGCATATCTGGGGGATCTCGGACAGCTCATCTGCCCACTCAAGGCGGCGATGACACGCCATATAAACAAGTTCCGGTGCCGGGCCGCGCGTGAGATGACATTTCCCGAAACGGCCCCCGATCCGCGGTATATACTGTCCGATCTGACTGAATGCAGCGGAGATGGATACGGCGGTGGTGATTGCCAGTATTCAGATCGTACATCGTCAATGAGCGCCCAATGCGTCGGCTGTACGCTGCTGGATAGACCGTATTAGTGGACTTTCCGGCACCACTGTAAACCAAACAACCGGCCAGTCTGCTCAAACTATTGAAATGCAGTCCGACTTCGAGTGGCGGCACAAATTGTAGGCGAATGCATGATAAATGTCTCGTAAATTTACGTATGCATTTACACCAGCTATACTTGAAACAAGCGCAAGCCTATGACTATTTGGGAACAAATTGCCAGGAACAAGTTGTTCTAAAAAAGAACACAGCTCTTGTCATAGATTCAGTTGTTTTTTGTTTTGTTTTAATTATGTGTCCTTATTCGTCGCGCCACAAATGCGTTCATCATAAGACAAATTCGGTGTCAGCATGATGCAATGTATGGAATTGCAAATTTTCGCTGTTAGTTAATGCTGTCACATGTCAGGGTGACTAATCGCTCTCATTCATCACAGATCGGTTCGATGAGCTGACACGGCGCCGTCCGCCGACGCCGCTGGCTCTGTAGATTGTGTCGCGGGAGGACAGACGATGTGCAGCGGCAGTCGTGAATCCACGCCCCCGACACGGCCCGTGACCCCGGCACCCCTCCCCACCCCGATCGGCGCCCCATCCCCACGTGGCGGCCGGCCGGGCACATGAGCGAGCTAAGAATTCGCTGGGAGGCGTTGCTGAGTGACGGCGCGTCGCTCCTTGTCGCTGGCACCGGTGGATTTTATACCGCGGCGGCTCCGGCTCGACGGGCGCGCGGCTGCTATCCCGATATTGCGGCCTTCCCTGAAGTAGATGAATGCTGCAATTTCGGGGCAAACGTCACTGCTCGTCGGCGCTCCGCACTGCCGAGTATTACGCCTGATTGCCATTTTGGTTTGGAATATGGTCGTTATATGCTGTCTGGCAGCGGACGCAGTGATGATACGAGATAGATACGAGATGGTTCTTCGCCCCTTTCCGCACAAAAGTAGGACACCCCAACCCGATGAAGCTGGCTGAACCTTTGGGCTTATGAATTATCGAAACATGCTGGCGTGGGATCCCGGATCTGTACTACAAGAAATGCAAGATTATGATTATAACTGGCCATAACGGTATATATCTCCAGCTCTCATGGCCGTAAAAATACCATTTGGCGTTTTATGCACAATCGTGGAACAAAGTTCCCATCCCCATTTATCACTGTAAAAAAAAATTCACTAGCTAATTTTGAAATTAGGCATTTTTTACGAGTGCCTCCCTTGCACCTCGTTACAACATATATGGACATTAGTAGTCAGAGCCATGCACGTTAACAATGCCCTTTGTGGAACAAATGCCTACGAGCGAGAACATGTTCAGGAACCTAATTTTGCGCAATGTTAATGAACTACGCACAGCCTCACAGTGTTACCCGCCGTTGGCTTGTTCTCGGCCAGTTTTTGGCGTGTCCCTCAATTAGGTCATTTTGCTATTAGCTCAGCTGACGAGGCCCCGGCTGACACCTACTAAACGGATAACCTTGCGTGCAACCCCGCTTGTTGTCACGAACGCCTGCAGCTGGTAAACGTGCTGGTAAGCTTGCGTGGTAAGCGGCTTCGGATGGCTATGAGGATGTGCCTCATAGCTATCCTCGTCGCATGTTACAACCTAGGAGTCTGTGGCTGCTTTCAGAAGGAGTCCCCCCCCCCCGCATCCGGGAGCCGGCGTCCATTTTGTGTTGCGTCGCCATTACTGTGTGTGTCTGCCCAACTGCTCTTTGGCTTGATTGAAGGTGAGGCATCTTGTATCATTTGCTGTGTGTTCAACAAAAAGGTTGTCCATTTGTAAACAAAAGTTATTATGTTGTTGAGCTTCTTAGAAGATGTATACACTGTAAAAAAAAAATGTCACGAGCCAATTCTATGACAAGGAGTGGGTTACACGGTCGTCCATTGTACCTTGCTGTTATATATAGGGACATTATCAGCCTGAGGGTTGTTAGTTAAAGAGTGGCCTCGTGAAACAATTGGTTACAAACGGTAACCTAATAACTTAAATGCTTCCCTATAACACCCCTTCCTGCTTATCAACAGATTTCGCGCTGTGTCGGAAAACTACGCATAGTCTCATAATTAAATCCGCCAGAAGCTTGTTGCATGCTAGTTACATGCGTGTTTCATTATCGTGTCATATTATTATTATGTCGGCTAATGAGGCACCGCCCTGCACGTGCTTTAAATATAATCCTGCGCACACGCCACCTAGTCGGAAACTCATCATCGGACTAGTCCTGGTAGGGTTTTCGTGTTGCCGAATGAGGCGAAACGACTTTGATTCGGTAGTGCCTCATAAATCCCTGGTACGGTGAGCAGCGACGAGTCTGAGACTGCTTCTAAAACGCGTCCTTCACTTCCGGCGCGGGGCCGTCATTTCCGGCCGC